TAAACCATCTTAGCCTGCAACTCTTACCTGAAAAATCCAGAACCAAATTGTCTTCCTTCTGTGTGTGCATAATTCCAAGAGTCTTGCATTCATGTAATTAGAGATAAACTTAAAAGAAAATGCGATACACACAAGAGACAACCATGATAGTGCTCTAGGAATGCATTATGGCTCTATCTAAAATTCCATATACCCAACGAAGCACTTAAGTTGTGCTTTAATCCACAAAATGATCATAACTGTTTCATTAAGCCTTCAAAAAACAAATATTTCCATATTCATTTGCTTACCTTCGCTTGCTTTTGAAAAAATTCGTAGCCAAAAAGCTTGCTTTCTGAACAGTTAACATCATAGCACCCATTGATTTTACAAAAAAGATGAAAACTCAAGAAAATCAAATCCAATTCAATTTAAGATAAAAAGCGACAAAATTTGAAATTAGCTTTCTAGCAATAAATTAAATTAATTTCATCAAGAACTTTCCCAGTCCTTTCCCTTGAACCTAGGGGATGCCCAAGCTAAATTTCATACACATAAACCACTGCAATCTCCTCCCCAAGAGTAAAAAGATGCTGTACAAACCTCAGAAGGGTTCCCTGTCCCAGCTTCATTTACAAATCGAACCCGAGGCGCTCTTTGATACCGAACAGGCAGGAGAACACCGTCGAGAAGAAATCTTTGAGCGATCGAGTGGAAGAAGAGCAATCATGTTGGAGAAGAGGTACACAGCCTATCGGATTCGAACAATGAAGAAGGGAATTATGACTGCGAAGAGATCAAGAGGAATGAGGGGTTTTTTCTGATTAAAAATGAAGGACGTCGTTTTTGGAGTGCGGACTGTAATTTTTTTTGCAGTCCGTACTGAAAAACAGTTTTCTGTATCCATAATCCATTGAAAAAAGAAATAAAGATAAACTGTTGGGAGTGTTTCTGACTTTCGACGACAGACGGAGACGAAGATGGAGCTGAAAGTGTATGCAGACAGATTGTCGCAGCCGTCGCGGGCGGTTATCATCTTCTGCAAGTAATTCTTGGCCCCCCCCAAATACTCTGATATTCACAAGAAATCTTCTTCGTTTGCTCTTTTAATCAATCGCTTTGCTATCTTTACATCTGTAGGGTAAATGGTATAGAGTTTGAAGAAATCAAGATTGACCTCTCAAAGCGCCAGCAGCTAAGCCCTGAATTCAAAGGTATGATTTTTAGTTTAAATTCGTCATTTTGATGATTCAACCATGAATAATGCCCCCAGAGTTTGACTCAGCTGTAATTGGACTCTACTCAACAAGATTTTGTTTTCTAATATAAATTGTGTGTGTATGGGGTAGGGGGGAGGGGGTTTTTTTTTTAAATGGCTGGGAATTTTGATTGTTTGTTATTAAAAATAAGTTTAGGCCATGAGAATACATTATTCCAAGAGACTGCACTTCAGTTTGCTGTTATTTCAAATTCAAAGTTTAAACCTTTATTGGGCCCTAAGTTTTCTGATTTTCCAGGAATCATTTCAATTTCGATACAAAAATGGTAATAATCTATTTGGATGTTGTCATTGCAGAAATAAATCCTATGG